TAGGCTAGAAATGTGCCGCCTCCTCTTTCTGTGAAATTCTATTCAAGCTTTGCTGAGAAATACTACTTCTAGAAATCAGTTTTCCATTTGGTGTTTGTATTCCTCAGGAAAACTTTGGCTGTATGCTAAAATAATTGAACACAAATATTCTAAAGTTGGGCATATGTTGATGTCAAAGCAGTATTGGGAACAAGCACTGTACAGCACCACCCACACACTCACTGTAATCAAGGACAGGGGGAAGAAATTGTAGTCTGATCCATATTACAGTTAAATATACTAGAATGTTACCTTTAAAAAGGTAAAATGTGTAACTTTAATGTTAAATTTAAAAGTTCAAGCTTTTGGGTTAGGAAACTTTCTATTAAGGTTTGCTAGGAACTTGGTCCTATCTCATATATGTGTTAAGGTAGTGTTGTGTGCGGATTTTTTTCACCCTTAAAAATTCAGCCTTTTTCAGTACTTGGGGTGGACAGGTGTGTGGGCAGTGTAACTAAGCAGATCAAGTGGTTTGCTGCCACTGATGAGGGGTGGGTTGTGCTGCTTCTCATTGCCTGCTATCGGTGGTCTCCATGCTCTAGTTCCTGTCTGACAATGCAGTGAACCAATTCTGTTCACTAATCCAGCAGCAAAGTCAATAGTTTTCTGCTGACCCATTAAGTTAGCTCAATTTACTGTGCTATCAGATGAGCATCAGTCAGTACCAGGAATGGTGTAGGACTGCGTGCCAGGAGCAGTGGCAGAGGAGAGTGGGGAGTTGGACTCTCCCCATCTGTGGCAATGAGCTCTTAGATTGCTCAGCTGTATCATATATCCTCATTTGAAGGCCGAACAAATATTATGAATTTAACACTTTCCCAGTCTTTCAGTATTCAATTTAATATTATAATATAAATATCATTTTCTCCATGAAATACGGTGTCTGAAGTATCTAAAAATAATTTTTCCTAAGTACATCATTTGCTGCCAAAGTGAAAATAGAGTTCTTGACAGAATTTGTCTTGTATATGTAGTAGCATAAGCTTGTGTGAATTTGAAAAAGGCTCAAACCAGCTAATTAGTTTTTGAAGTCATGTTATCAATTTCTGCTTGAAGTGCTTTTAGAGAACTAAGTTTTACTCTTGTTGGTATGTAATTTTTTTTTTTTCCCCAAGTCTTTAATTCTAGTAATGTTTTGAAAAAATCCCATTTGGTATCCCCTTTCTCTTCTGACTTCCGTGTTTTAAGGCTTTTTACCTCTCCAGTGGCATCAGTAGCTCAGACCCTTGAAGGAGGGTCTCCCAAGGATAGATACTCCTCATTTAGATTTTTCTCTTTCTTCCCAGTTGCAAGTAGCAATTCAGGGGTCTCTGCTACCTCCCATCGTAGATCATCTTGTGGTTTTTTTTGTTATACAGCTTTCTATTCCTTCCGTGATTGTGCTCTCTTGGTTTCCAGGTGTTTCAGAAGTAAAAATGGCTCAGTTCTATCCTTTTTGGTATATAGAGATCCAAAAAGTTCTGTGGAAGAGAAGAGTTGTGTTCACAGATGAGAGGCTGCTAGCAAATATCTATTTGGTTCCAAATTGTGCACACCATTTTTGCAACTTCTCATGATTTGGGAAAGCGTGTACTGATGAACTTTAATACTTGATATATGTGTAAATGGTATAATCCTTGTAGTCTGTGATCAAAAGTAAAAACAGTCTGTATTATTAAAATATTTGTATTTAAAGCTGAACAGAAAATTTATTTTCAAGCTGGAAGGAGGACTGTGTTGGATATGAGAAAAAGAATTATTTTTATCCTGTGGTTAAGAGCTTTTTTTCCCTTCTGAAGGTTTCATGGAGATAGTGTGAAAACAAACACAGAGAATAAGTGTTCTTCACTTTAAAAATGTCTTAGTGTAATCCCTCTTAAGAAGTTTTTGAGTACTTATGTAGGTGTATACCAAGTTAAATAAAACATTTTTACAACTGGTTTTGAGTGCAAACCTTTTTGGATATGTTTATGTGAACTTTGCATAATTTGACACTGATTTACATTCTGTCTATCTCTCTATGGGTTTTTTTTTTTGTTGTTTCTGTCTTAAAAGCACCACTGCTTTTAAGACGATGGCTTTGCTCTTTGACTGCTGTTTACTGATGATTAGAATAGAACAGAATATTTCAGTTGGAAGGGACCTACAGCGATCATCTAGTCCAACTGCCTGACCACTTCAGGGCTGAGCAAAAGCTAAAGCATGTTGTTAAGGCCACTGTCCAAATGCCTCTTAAACACAGTCACTACATATTATAAGAGGAGTCAAATGAAATTGTTAGTAAAACTTCTGGGAAGATATAATCAAAGGCAGGGAATGGGACAGATTGGAAGGGGAAATCAGATGATCTTCCTTCTCGTACTGTAGAAACGGAATTCAACAATATTTGAGATAGTTTTGCAGATTCATACAGATTCATACCCATCTTCTATGCAGGTACTTTACATTTCAACTAGTAGTAATGGAATGTAATTTAATAGCTGGATGTTCAGCAAGGATGTGTAGATGCTGATCTTCAGTAGTCTTAAAGTTTTCCTTGGTGATCATAGACATGCTGAAGTATGAGAGAGCAATTTGGCTCTTGCCATAGCAAATAGCTTCTTGCTTTAAACTTACAAGTTATTGTATTTGTTGCTGGTTATATTACTGCTGATTGTACCCCAATGAATACAAATTTCCATCCTTTCCCTGCAATGCATGAAGACCCAGGTCTGGGTGACTAGTCCGTACAAAAATCTGAGCTCCGTTTGAGAACAAGTGAAGTGGGTTGACGGGTAACCCCTGCTTCCCCCTGCCTCACCTTGCTGCAGCTTTCAGTGCTATAATTCCATATTTTCTATATTCAGACTAACACAGTATCTAGAAATGTTTGACTTCTTTATCATATCCGTCAGTATAGCAATGAATTTTCATGTTTAGAGTGAAACAATTTTAAAATCGTAAGTTAAAGCATTTTTAAGAGTTTGAAATACCTGTAGACTCTTGGATGGTCCCCAGTTGTGTATTCCTGCAGTCATGAAGAGGGAGAAAGTTGTCTATTCTGTAGTCTGTATTTTGAGGTTTGGATTGAGATTTCTAAGCCTATAATATGGAACTTCCACTGTCATAAGCCATTTCTTTGTTTTTATTTCCCCCTGAATGGAACTGGTGCTGTAATAACACCATTACAGTGCCCCGGAACGTGACCAGTAGGTGACTTGTCAGGTGATGACACTTTACTCAGGTACCCAAGCACCCTCAATGAACTATTTTCAGGACTCCTCTGAGGTTGGTTGTACATGTGTTGCTGCTCTTTCTGGTCTTTCCATGCCCACTAAATTTAAAGACTTGTGGCAGAAGGAACATGTTAACAAAGAAGTGGTGAATATTGCATCTACCAGTTGAAACAATCCTGTTGCAGAGGCCTGTGCTGGTTTTACATTAAATTTAGCCTAATGAAAGGACAGATTTTCATGAGGATGCTGTGCCTTTTGGCAGCTGAACTTGGTTAGCCAAAAGTGAAATGGTGCTCATAGAGTATGCTATGTTAAATCTGATTTAGAGTGAAGGGAGTTTTTGTAGCTCTTAACTGTGTGGATTAGGTTAAGAAATTCTAGAGCCCACTTCCTTGATTGGGCTAAGTAAAAAATGAGTGACCTCAGGGCACTTCTTCCCCCCTACAAGATGAGAAAATAGAAGCTAGAGAGATAACTAGCTCGCCTGCCTCCACTTCAGAAATCCCAGACATGTAGCCGCTGTCACAAACCTCAAGAGGCTTAGAGGCAAGTGTCTTAATTGCTTGTTCTCCTTTCAAGTGTCTGCACCTTCCATATCCAAGCCTCTTAATTATCAGCAAGAATGTGTGATTCCATGCACCAATAGTTTGTGTTTTGTTTTGTTTTTTAGGACTCTTGTGAATTACTTGGGCTAAGGTTTGCAAGCTGAAAATAGTCTAGTAGTAAAGACTGGCTAACTTAACTCTTGTGAATTTAAAATTACTTAGCAATTGTGTATTTCATTGCAAGACTAAACTTCTAAACTTCGTGTCTGAACCTGCTGTTCTTGAATTGCTTGTTGTGAATATAATTTTGTGCTGTAACATGCCCAGTAATTTGATTTATCAAATTGTGAAATGATTTCAACTGCTAGACTTTAGGGCAATGTAGTGACAGAAGGCTTTTTTTTGGCTACCACATTTATTACTTGCAAAAAAACCCCAAAAGCACTTGAAGAAAAACACTTTAAAGCAAGGGAGAATGTTTACCTTGGGAATTACTTGAACATGTTATCCCCAAATGAGTACTTTTGGCTTTAGGCCATTACAGTTTGTTTTCAGTTCAACTTGCATATTATATAAACTTGAAGCTAGTTTCTGTTCTGGTTTTTGGTGGTTGGTTGTTCGGGGTTTTTTTGTTGTTGTTTGATTTTGTTTGTGTTTCTTGTTTGTTTGTGGTTTTTTTTTTTTTTTTAAAATAGTATGGGGTCAGTTTTTACATATTTCCACATGTATTTCAACAATGTTTATTTAGTTTTGGATGAATGACCACGTAAAGCCATCTGATAAGGTAGGTCCTGGCAGTGGCATCTTGTGAACAGCTTGCTGGTGATGGTTGATATTCATTGACTGTTTGTAAACCCCTTGTTTGGCAATGTTTGTTGACAGCTGTCATGTAATGTTTCTAAACTTTCTGGTATAGTAATTGCTGATGACCAGTTAAAGGGTATGATTAAGAGTTGTGACTCATCATGAAAGCAGCCTTGGGAAACTTGTTTTTTTGTGATTTCCTCCCCCTTCCCCCCCCCCAGCTTATATGTCAGTCATAATGTGAACATGGCAGGTGTCTCTTACTACTCATTTTCACTGAGATACACACTGTGACCCTCGGTATTGGTCTCTGGTCTTTGTGTGCCATGGTGAGGGTTTTGGTAACTTCGAATCCTGATCTTTAAATACATTTTGTATATGAAGATACTTAAGAGATCTTTTTTTTTCCTCTCAACAGGTGGGAAGGAGAAACCAAAAACCAATGCAGAAGAGCTACAGATTAAAAAAGTTAAGAAGAAAAAGAAAAAGAAACATAAAGAGAACGAGAAGAGGAAGCGTCCAAAAATGTACAGCAAATCCATTCAGACCATCTGCTCAGGATTGGTTTCTGATATTGAGGATCAGGAAGCCAAAGGCATCATAGATGATCATCTTAAGGATTTCAGTGGGAAAAATATGGATCCCAAGAAGGACTGTGAGTCCAAGATACCAGAGAACAGTGAGTTTCCATTTGTCTCGTTAAAGGAGCCACGGGTTCAAAATAAACTCAAAAGGTTGGACACATTGGAGTTCAAACAGCTGATTCATATTGAGCACCAGCCTAACGGAGGTGCATCAGTTATCCATGCCTACAGTAATGAACTCTCCCACTTATCTCCTGTGGAGATGGAGAGATTTGCAGAAGAGTTTGTGGGTCTGGTTTTTAGTGAAAATGAAAACTGTGCAGCTTACTATGTAATGGGTATTGTTCATGGGGCAGCTACTTATTTACCTGACTTTTTAGACTACTTTTCGTTTAATTTTCCCAATTCACCAGTGAAAATGGAGATTTTGGGAAAGAAAGATATAGAGACGACGACTATGTCAAATTTTCATGCTCAGGTAAGAGGTTATACATTTTACTTTCTAAAGTCATGTAATGGTTTCAAACAACTGTGAATGGGTTTTTTTAGAATATAGTTACTATTAGCTGTGCTGTGTGGATGACGCAGAAGACTAGAAACAAGGGAATTCTTTAAGTAATAAGTTAGTTCTGCAATATTAAATTTAAGGACCCTATTAACTGAGACATAAAGTTGGATTTTATGGGGGAGGGGGAACCGTTTGTGTGCATGCATGTGTGTACATTTCTTTGGATTTGTTGCTGTAGCTGAAGCTTAACCGTGAGTTTTGGGATGATTTAGGTTAAAATGTTTTAGGTTAAAATGATTTAGCCGCGGCTATCTGGGTGTCTGAACTGTAGTTTATCTGTATGAACTTCTTCATAAAACGGAAATGCTTTAATACATTAGAACAATGTTATACATGCAACCTGTGTAGGGCAGAGTTAATTAGTTGTATTTGCAGTTTGAGGCTTCTGAATCCATCCTTAAAGGAGAATTTAATGGTGTTTAATGTAGCTACTAATTTGATCCATACCCCTTCTCATTTCCCCACAGTTAGTTGTATTCTCTTGAAAGCTGTTATGTGGTAAAATGGCAGGCAGCTTTTGAATCTCTTTTTTTTTTTTTTTTATTTTTTTTATTTCCCAGAGAGAGATGACTGTATACTCTGTTAACAACAGCTACTGATTAAACATCACCTCTGCTATTTATTAACTTGTGTGGATGATACATTACTGTTGCATATAAATTATTTATATTGCAGGTCTTTCAAGTTCATGGGGAAGAAAAAATTCTAACTTTCTTAGATTGCCACCTTGGTGATGAGGGTATTGTGTAAAGCCCATACAGATATTCTGAAGCAATTTATGAAGAAACTCAATCCTGTTTTTCATTATATCAACTTTAGCGCACAATTGCCTGTTTAATTCCCTATTTGTGAATTTAGGTGTTTTATGGAACACCTTTAAACTATTTTAGTCTTCACTTTTTAGACAATTATGAAGCGTTCAAGTGTAAGTTATACTGTTATCTTTTTGAAGAAAAAAGTGTTGGTTTTTTTTTTTCTTCAGCTACATAAACACTTGCATGGAATACTATTGCATTTATTGAGAAATTTCAGGTGTGTGTTATCCACAAGGATATGCAGAACTGAAATGTTGCTGCAAGAGAACATTTGCAGTGCTGGTTAAGAAAACATCCATTGCCATGGAATATTAATATTCTGTGAAATATATTAACTTTTTTTTTCCCCAGTATGTAAACAAAATCATTACTTTAATAGTAAAAATCATAGAACATATTATGGGCAGCTACCCAGAGCTGCTCTGTCTCAGGTCATTTTATATAAAAAAAGCTGGATCTGTCCTTCTAAGTATGTTCTTTAAGCCCAACCTGTTACCTTGGGCAGCATTAATACAAGCATAGCTGTGTTCTAGTATCTGCCCTAAAGAAATAGTTAATAAAAGCCCAAATTTTATTTTTGTGAATTATAATGGAATTATTTTACTGAAAGGGTGGATTAACTTGGTATTACAATGGTATCTTCAATGATCTGTAGTTAAATCAGTCCTATGGTCATTGGGGTTGAGATTGTAATTTCCCATTTTTCTCGAAGTGAAGGAGGAAAAGAGAGAGAATGTAGTAGATGAAAGAAGCCAAACTGTATTATTATAGCCTTCAACTGGTCAACTTCATAGTCTGTCTTCTAACCTGTATTTTACTTGGCTGCAGGTTTAGTTCTGGTATCTTCTTTTCCTTTGTTTTCTCTCAGTTTTTCAGTTAGTTTTTGTAGCGTTTTATCACTTGTCAAGAGTTTGGTTGCTTAACAGAAAACACTTGGCTCCTTGTATTTTTGCTAACATAAAGGGTGTAGTGTGTATAGATAATGTATACAGGTGTACACCAGATTTATTCATGTCATCTTCTCTGCAGCATCACTGCTTCTTAGAATATTTAAGTCAGTATCTTGGTTGCCTAGCTATTGATTCTATTTTTCCTTATTATTTCATTATTTTTTGTCTTATTCTGGCTGCTTATTTTGTCGTACTCAGGTGATTTGCTACATTCGAAAGGTTTTGGTAGCTTATTATTCTCCTTTCTGACTGGGGCCAGTATTAAAGATGTCTAGGAAGGAGGATGAGAGTCTAGTAGTCATAGTGATACTGAGTCAGAGTGCTCATCCTCCAGGGATATGACAGGACCTTTTTGAATCTGAAAGTTGTGGATTTTGTGGCTTTAACCTTCAGCTGTATTTATTTGTGTGTGTAAATTTCTGATTCGTTACTATCAGTTACCTCTATTTTTCAGTTTTCTGCCTCTACCTACCTTTATAAAAGGTACTAAATGATTACATAACTTGTTACATTTTGTGCAGATTGATAATATCCTCCTGTCTCATTGAGTTCTTTGTGAATCTTGAAGGGATTCTAGTGTGCTGTTGCAGTATATTTCAATGCAATTTTAAATGTAGTTTTCTGTTCCTACATTGCAATAGCTCTGTGTCACTGTGTTCCTTGTTGTCCTGAGCTGCCTAAGCACTGTCTAGCAGTTGTTGAATAGTCTCAGTTGAGAGGTGAGTCGTTTTCTGATTTAGGAATTTAGTTTTATATCAAGTCTGCTTTGAATATCTATCTCAACCTTCTTTATCCATAAGGAACTTGGGTATTGCTTTGCTAATTTTAACTTAAACACTGAAATGATGCTCACTTTAGTACATGAGGTTCTTTGTTTGTTTTTGAGAACTCTTTGTAGCACATGCAATCAGTCTGACAAACATAAGTATTTAAAAAGATCTAAAAAAGTATTAAAAAATGGTAAAAAGGAGGGATGAGCTAAGTCTGAAATGGAAAGTATTATGGAATATTTTATCAGAGTTTTTATTTCTCAAGTTGATTCTTTCAGTACTACTCAGTAATCTTCCATCTCCTGTTTTGCGGCAGATGAGGTTTTTTGGTTTGAAGTAATGCATATTTTCAAGTCACTGAGCCCTGTGGTAAGAGGCAGGTTCCACAGTAAATTCTGTTGGTGAGATCAAAACTGTTGGAGTCCTCCTAAGTCAACCTGGAAAGTCTGCATCTCTCGAGTAATTTACTTAGTTTTCACAATTGTAGAGTTGAAAATGAACAACTCTTAGCTTCCCAATACACCTGTGTCAGAGAGAAGTAATATAGTTTCACTTGGTAGGAGATTAGAAGTGGGTAGACGCTTCTGGCAATAGTTACAGCAGACACAGGAGAGAGGAGTTTGTGTTGGAACTGGTTCTGTCTCATTAGAATTAGCTTTTAAATTTTGGGGGGAGAGGAATTGGGGAGTTTTTCATCACCTAGCTTGGGCCTATGTTTAAGTACTCCTTAATTCTTAAAATTTTTTAGGTTAGTGGAACAGCTCTGTTCCTGTGAACTGTCTGTAAGGCTTAGTCAGACTGTTTCTATAATTGGGCAAAATGGAATTAGTCTGGGTATCCTTGTAGCCACTAAATCGCTCTTTCAGGTGGTGGAAAACTGACTGCTGTAGGTACATCCCTGGGCACCATCACTTGTGTAGATGGCAACAGCTGCATCACTTACCTGATAGCTGTGAATCTTACTTGTCAGACTCTTAGGAGGATTTCAAAGAATGTAAATAATCAGTTTTTGCCACCTACTTGCAGCTTATATCACTTCAGTTAAGCTAGTTAGTGCTGTTGAGGCAAATGCCTCTAATATTTTGAACCCATTGCTGTGTCCTCATGCTGGGCAAGTGGAAATTTTTATTGCCTTGCTGAAACCCCAAAGCGCACACTTCATGTTTAACTATAACAATGCTTAGTGGATTGATTTTACTGTGCTTCAGTCTTGTCCCAGAGGCAACTTCTTAGTACAGTTGAACTGAAGTGCTGAGCAATACCCAACGATTCTTGTGCTTCAAGACAAGAGTGACTATTTTTAAGCCATATCTGACAAATGCTTGTCTGTGTTTGCTGGAGATCTCTAGGTGATTCCACACTTCCCAAAGAAATCTGTTGAAAAATCTCTTTTCTTGTTTGTCCTCTTATCTTAATCCTCCTGCCAGTCCTTTTATTCTCATCTTTAGTGGACAAAGCAAACAGTTTATGCTTTTCTTTGTGTTCTCTGTATTTGAAGATTGCCTAACAGCTCCTTTTTTCCCCTCCCTAGGTGAAGTTATTGGAGTTACTTCAGTCTACCATTACACATTATATCCTTATTGGTCTTACTGCTGCCCCCTTATGCTCTCTTCAGTCATCCTTATTTTTCTTAAAATACAGTACTGAAAATGGAAAGTGTCTGCTTGGTGTTTTGTTGTCAAGGAGTATGAGAAGATTGCTTCAAGTGTCTTGCAAATTATGCTCCTTGTTATCTATTCCTGCCTCTTTCAGAGCAGTTTGTGATGTGCTGTAGCAGCAGCTCCTGCTAAGTGAGTCACTCCCCTTTTCATGTTTATACCCTTAATTACAGGTATCTGTGTGTAGTTCCTTGCTTTTATTCAAATTGAATTATATCCTGTGTATTCAGATCCCTTCTCCAGTTTATCGAAGACCTGTAGTAGGCTTGCAGCTTTGTGTTACCTGCAGGTTTTATAAGCATGTATTGTGTTCAAAGGAAAGATCCTTGCTGTGTGCCACAAAATTGGTCCTTTCATATTAATAGTTATGTGAACAAATGAAAACTGCCCACTGTTTGTTGTTACTAGACCATGTTTCTGTAGCAGTTTTGAGAACATAATGCAAATGTACTGGTCCTCTGAAAAAGCCTATCCTGTCATAGAAAGAAAGGTTAGTTTGGCTTGATTGGTTTTTTTGACATGTCCGTATTTATTAGCTTTTACCATCTTATTTTCTATTGTTAAGACAGGAGTATCTAGCTAACTGTTTTTTCTGGAAATTGAAACTAGGCTAAACGTTTGGTGACTCTTCTATGTCTTGCTTCTCTTGATGCCCATTTCTTTAAGATGGTATGTTTATTCTCTTCCAGTTTTGAAGAATCTGTTTTGTGTTTTGAG